TTGAATTCCCACCTGTTATTTCCTCCCCAATTGATATTAATAATTCATGTGTTACACTTCATAAATTAAATTAATATCTAAGTCTACATATGAGTGGGAGTATGAAGAATTTTCATAAAAGATTAAATATATCAAAACCTATGTGAGATCCCACGTTGATTGGGGAGAAGAACGAAACATTGTTTATAAGGGTGTGATAACCTCTCCACGTTTTAAAAACCTTAAGGAGAAGCTCGAAGGAGAAAGCCTAAAAAGAACAATATCTGCTAACGGTGGGCTTGAGATGTTACAACTTATCTACTCAATGTGAATCAGAATAATATGAAACATGTATTTAATCGAATATCGGAATAAGTACCTTTTATTGATGGTGCCATAATGGAATGAGACTCTTCCTGCCTTGACATCCTCAACATACTGTAGTCACAAGAACAAGATCTAGTTGCTTTAAAGCCATCAAATATTTCGTAGCAAAATTACTAGTTCATTTGACTTTTTTTATTTCCGGTTGTTGAGAGATAGGTGTGTTTATTATTTCCATTCTCCTTTTAGAATGAAATTTTAGCCTCACTTCAACAAATGATTAGAGATTTATTGGGTTGGAGAGAGGAACGAAACATTCTTTATAAGAGTGTAGAAACCTCTCCTTGGAAGATGCGTTTTAAATCTTGAGAAAAGCCCAAAGAGGACAATATTTGCTAGCAGTGAGCTTCGACCATTACAAATGGTATCAGAGCCAAACATCAGGCTGTGTGCCAGTGAGGATATTGAGCCTCGAAGAGGAGTGGAGTGAGATCCCACATCGTTTAGAGAGAGAAACGAGTGCCAGCGAGGATGCCAGACCCAGGGGGTGGATTGTGGAATCCCACATCGGTTGGAGAGGGGAACGAAGCATTCCTTATAAGAGTGTGGAAACCTTTCCCTAGTAGACGAGTTTTAAAACCTTGAGGGAAAGTCCTTGAAGGGAAAGCTAAAAAATGACAATATCTACTAGTGGTGGGTTTGGACTATTACAGGTGTGGAAACCTCTTCCTAGCAAACGCGTTTTAAAACCTTGAGGAGAACCCCGAAAAGGAGTGCCCCCAAAGAGGACAATACTTGTTAGCGGTGGGCTTGGGTCATTACACTACACCTTTCTTTTTACGAAAATAAGGCTCAAATGCTTTGTGGTCATCCTTTTAGGAGGAAAGCATAGAAACTAAGTGTTAATGTATCAATTCAATAGAAGAACATTTAATATATGAGTCTTATGGTAACTTCTCACAGTTTCAGTTTATTTTTTAAAAAAATAAGATTCTTCCTCTTCTTCACCATATGAGCCTCTAATGTACAAAATCCAAACATATTGAAGTACAAAAGGCACGTACCAGTTTTAAGGTAACCAGCATGGATGAAAATGCAAGAGACTCGAAAGGTATATCGTCAAGAGAAAAAAGGCGACATTCTATGGATTCGGGACCAGGAGAGAAATGGGGTTTCTTCAACTTTCCCCTGAAAATTATATACGTCTACAAAAACAAACATCGATTACGTCATATATTAAGCATACGAGACGCCGAAATATGATCAGGAAAAGATGTTTCTTTCTTACTTGGCCAATTAGAGGGATGTCTAGCTGAGCAAAAGGGGATGTAACTTCCACTTCTGCATTTGCTTCTTCCAAGGTTTCCCTAATTGCACCATCAACCGCTGACTCCCCAATTTCCATGTAACCAGCTGGGAGAGTCCTATTGAAAAACTAGATCTCAAATGCAGTAATAAAAGTTATCAAAGAAGGAAGGATTAACCAAGTGTCAATAAGTTATTCGCTGCGGCCTCATGCACATTTTTTTGCTTTCCAGTTTCCAGAACATGAGTTTCTAACTTTTGGTTTTCTTAACGGATTTAAACGTCGTCAATGTACATACCATAAGCCATAAGATGGCTCGATCTTCCTCTTGCAAAGTAAGATCTTGTCATCATGATGAATCAAACAACCCACAACCTACAAGTATCAATCCAGAAAATACGTAAAGTATAGCTTTTATTCATACAGGAGAATAAACTAATGAGCAAGAATGTAACAACTAAAGCCCATAGTTAAAGGATATTGTTTTCTTTGGACTTTTCCAGCGGAAGAAACCCCATTTCTGATAACCTAAAGTTGCTAATATATTAGAGCTGGACATCGGGCAATATGTCAGCGAGGAGGCTGAGCCTCGAAGGGGGTGGACACGAGGCGGTGTGCCAGCAAGGAGGTTGGGCCTCGAAGGGGAGTGGATTGGGGGATCCCACATCGATTGGAGAAGGAAACGAGTGTCAGCGAGGACACTGGCCCCGAAGGAGGGTGGATTGTGAGATCCCACATCGGTTGGAGAGGAGAACGAAACATTTTTTATAAGGGCGTGGAAACCTCTTCCTTGCAGACACATTTTACAAACCTTGAAGGGAATCTCGAAAGGAAAAGCCCAAAGAGAACAATATCTGCTAACGGTGAGTTTGGACCGTTAGAAATGGTTCGCAATGGAGTAATATATAGCTCTAAGCAAATCCACAAGGAAAACATAAAAAGAAACATAAAACTAAGAACAGAAAACGCAAACAATAACAATACTAGTGTAAAATATGTTTCCAAATGATGATATATGAACAAGAAACTTTTTCCAAATAGAAACTACGATACATGCTTAAACATTCAGATCTTGATTGTAGTAAACTCCTGCTAAATTATAATAGTAAAGCAAAGAACATTTCATGTTTGAACGGAAAGTTATCCATCTTTTATCACTGAATCACTGAAGATATATGATTATCTTGTTCTTGTATTCACGTTCAAGTAATTACATAAACTATTTGGTTACAAAAAAAATGCCTCACTGACAAAATTTTAAAGTTGGCCTAGCAAACTACAAAAATCTAATGCAAAACAAGAGTATTACCATCTTTGGATTCTGATAGGTTATCTTCCCACAAACTGTGCAAATAGCTCTCAGTTTCTCCTCATCATCAGGAATTCCATGCTTTGTTTGGCCTCCGCACCACTGGCAGAACCGTACATTACGAATTTTTTCCTGCATAAGAGATTCCATTCGTATATGTTGTAAGTTGTCATGAAGAATAAGTTCGTGCATCTCCTATGCATGTATTGACATTTATTTGGTTCATAACTCTCATTTATTTGGTTCATAACCCTTTTAGTTCATCTTCTATTTTCATGTATGACGTTAACACTTCTATGCTTATCTAAAGGGTTGTCTAGGATGGTTGAGAGGTATTGAGTTTGGGTGTCATTTGGGAGGAATTTTGTTGAGAGATTTTGTAGGGTGAGAGTGTGAGATATACACTTTGTAAACACTTAGATTATTGAGATTGGTGGCTACCCATGGATGTAGGGGAATTTCTTCTCTCCAAACCACGTAAATCTTTGTGTCTCTTTATTTAATTTCTGTGTGTGGGTGTGTGAGTGCCGTCAATCTTGCTTCAACAATATAGTCAGTCAGTGCAATGAATGCAAAAGTTAAATGCAATTAAAATGAAAAGAAATTCATACAAATCACCCTAAGTTGGGAGTTTTTCATTGATCAAACATAAAAACTTGTATGTACCATTTGTTACCAAGCAACCCATCCTACGGCTATACGTTTCTATCATCATTAAGGGGACCAATATCTAATAGGGCAATATGAACTTTCCCCAGATACACAATTAATCGTCACAATGAACCCAAATGAAGGAAAACAGGCACCGTAAGTGAAATTGAAACTCATCAATCAAAAGAATGACTCACAGCTGAGTGGACTACAGTTGAAGATGATGGCGGCGGTGATTCTGACATAGACAAGGGAGACGTGGAAGTACCGTCTTGATTTGCCTCAGAACATGTAGACCCACAAAACGCTTTGAAAGAACCAGCTCGAGGAGCCAAGAACATGGAAGCGTTGCTAGCACATGACAATCTTGAAGAAGAACAAGAAGACGACGTTGGCAACCGTTTGGAAGAGATGAAATTAAGACTGAATCCAACAATACTATTGGGCTTCAGAAGATTTGAAACAAACCCAGATGAACAACCGAACAGATGAACAGATTTTAGCATTATCAATCTTCAATTTCTTTGAATCGGTATGGAATTTGAAGTCGTAATCAACCAAAAGGATCTTCCAATGAGGAACTTGAATATCATTTCATCTCTTTTCTTCCATTTTTCCAATTGAGGTCTGAGAGCCGTCAGCACGCAGCGGGCACAAAGATGAACGAAAATCTCGCGTTGAATTCGGGCTCTGAAATTTTTTGGGGATGTCCGTACATCATATTCGGATTCGTCTCATCGGTAATGTTCTTATCCATTAGCCAAAATTTTCATTTTTTTAAGAAATGAATTATGTTTTATTTATTAACCTATACTCAAATTAATGAATGTGTTTTTCTAATTATAATTCTAATTCAAGTAAATGAATAATTAATTAAATATATGTTTTAATTTTTTTTTATGAATAAATAATTAGCAAATTGGTTATTTTTTAAGTAAAAAAACCAATAAATATTATGTAAATTCAAAATATTTAAACACAAAGAATTAAGTGGAAAATTTTAAGTAAATAGAATTAAATTAAAAAACAATCAAACATGGAATAAAACATACAAATAATTATATTTATTTAGAAATACGAACATTGGAGCTGACGTGTAATGTTTTAATACAGAGCCAGTTTATATTTAATTATCCAATAAATAAATGTAAATGTAGAATTTATTATTGGCAGGTGAATTTAGCAAATTACCGAATTTGGCCCTGGTCAACGAGGAAAGAGGATCGTTGGATGGGAAAGACATAACGGTCCAGGAGAGGGCAATGACCGAAAAGTTAGACAGCTGGATCCAACGAGAATGTGACGCGTGGCTACAGACCGTGGATCAGTGATTCGGAATAGACGGCCAGGATTTGCGGAAAGGTAATGATGGGGGTTGATTTGCTTTTTTGCATTCCTTTTTAAAAACAAAGAAAGCGAGGGAGGGGGGTGGGTAGTTTTTCGTTCTGTCTTTCTTTCCATTTGAGGCTCAGTTCATTGCCATCGCCATTGCCATCACCTCAACAGTTTCGAGTTCACAAAGCTTTATTCATTTCAAAGGTATATCATCTATCAATCATTTCTTCCACTTTTGTTTTATGTTTTGGTTTTGATTTTCTTCGAGGAGGACATTCTGAATTCCCGCGACGCTATTATTTGATCTTGTTTTTCGTGTTATTGTACGTTGATGATCATGCTTGTTTTTTGTTAACGTATGGTGTTTGGATTGGATTTTCTTTTTGTTATTTGGAAATGCCGCGGGTTTCTGTGATTGATATCAGCTCAGGAATGATGATCGAGAAATTTTTTTGCGGTGATTCATTTATTGTATGTTGAATTGGCGCTGATCGTATCAGTTTTGATTTTCGCGTTGTACTAGATTGGATTTTTTCCTTTTTTTGTTATTTTGGAAAATTTGACAGTTCTGTAATTAATGTCAGCTCAAAAATTTTATATATATTGCGGTGATTCCTTTATTTTATAATTAATTGCGTTGATCATGTCAGTTTTTATTTTCACATTTTATTAATATTATTTTGGAAATGCTGATGGATTCCGTGATTAATATCAGCTCAGAAATGACGATCGATCATACTTTTTGCAATGATTCGTTTATTATATGTTGGATTGTGTTGATCATGTCCTTTTAATTTGCATTGTGTTCAGATTTGATTTTTTGTTATTTGGAAATGCTGCTGGATTATGTGATTGATATCAGCTCGCGAATGATGATTGAACAAAAAGAAATCAGTGATTCGTTATACTTTACGTTTTTTGGTTTGTTCCTCTCTTGTGTGGATGCGTGGAATAGGATTTTTTGTTTGAAATTTGCCGCCGATATTGAATAATTGGTTTGGTGTTATGTTGCGCTTTTCTCATTTATCTGAGCAGCAGCAATGCAGCGTCTGTTAACATGTTACAGTGTCTTATTTTCTACATGTAAGAGAGTTCTAGGAATCTCTATCTCATATTGGGGGCTTGATCTGGAAGATGATCAATTATTTTAATCTGGATTTTACCAATAATTTGTGATTTTTTGCTGCAGACCATTCGCAATGGCAGATTCCGAGGATATTCAGCCGCTCGTTTGCGATAATGGAACAGGGATGGTCAAGGTATTGATCCGACATCCATGAACCTCACGTTACAGCTACACCCTGTTTTGGACTTCTTGTTCTGTAATACTTTTTTCCATTAGCAATGAATAAATCGCCTTTTCTTATTAGCGTTACAATTTATATTTTGCAACAATTGCCGACACTATCTGTAGGCTGGATTTGCTGGAGACGATGCTCCAAGGGCTGTATTTCCTAGCATCGTTGGACGCCCCAGACACACTGGCGTTATGGTTGGTATGGGCCAAAAGGATGCCTATGTTGGTGATGAGGCTCAATCGAAGAGAGGTATTTTGACTTTAAAATATCCCATTGAGCATGGTATAGTTAGCAATTGGGATGATATGGAAAAAATTTGGCATCACACTTTCTACAATGAGCTTCGAGTTGCTCCAGAAGAGCATCCAGTTCTGCTCACCGAAGCACCCCTGAATCCCAAGGCGAATAGAGAGAAAATGACCCAAATAATGTTCGAGACTTTCAACGCCCCCGCTATGTATGTTGCTATCCAGGCCGTCCTTTCCCTTTATGCCAGTGGTCGCACAACTGGTAAGTATTACCTTTTTTACATTTGTTTTGTATCCTTCCTTTTTATTAAGTAGATGGATTAAAACTAAAAATATCTGTACAAAAACGACATTGTATAGTTTTCTGACTCAGTTTGCCTTCTTAACATGTTAATATTCGAACTTTACTAGATTGCTGCTACTCCGAGCCCATGTATGTATATTAAAACTTAACATGTTCATATTCGATGCTCATGTATGTATATTGTGGGTTGTTTTAAAATTGTAGGGATTGTTATGGATTCTGGTGATGGTGTCAGCCACACAGTTCCAATCTACGAAGGTTATGCTCTCCCACATGCAATCCTCCGTCTAGACCTGGCTGGCCGCGATCTCACAGATGCTCTAATGAAAATCCTGACTGAACGTGGTTACTCTTTCACCACCAGCGCGGAGCGTGAAATTGTGAGAGATATGAAGGAGAAACTAGCTTACATAGCCCTGGACTATGAGCAAGAGCTAGAGACATCAAAAACCAGCTCTTCTGTGGAGAAGAGCTATGAACTACCAGATGGACAGGTGATCACCATTGGAGCTGAAAGATTCCGATGCCCTGAAGTCCTCTTCCAGCCATCCATGATTGGAATGGAAGCAGCTGGTATTCATGAAACCACATATAACTCTATCATGAAATGTGATGTCGATATTAGAAAGGATCTCTATGGCAATATTGTCCTCAGTGGTGGTTCCACCATGTTCACTGGCATTGCTGACAGGATGAGCAAGGAGATCACTGCATTGGCTCCTAGTAGCATGAAGATCAAAGTGGTAGCTCCACCTGAAAGAAAGTACAGTGTCTGGATTGGCGGCTCTATTTTAGCTTCCCTCAGCACTTTCCAACAGGTAAACATCATTTGTATGCATTAAAATTTGTTCATATCATCTACTCCGAGACAAAATATTATAATTGCTCTTACTAGCATGGGATTGATCAAAGGTAACTTAAACTAAATTGGTTGACACATCGTCTTCAATCTAGGACAGGACACAAATAGGATGCATTTTGCTTACAAAATTTATTATTTGTCTCATATTACTATTTATGTTTATTTATTATGCCTAGCAATTAATAGACGTGTATGCTTAACAAGTGTTAACGCATATTCACTTTGTGCAACTAGTGTCAACACATATCTATTGTGCTAATAATTATCAACACACTTTAGTCAAACCAAAGTACCATACTTTTACGCTCGTTTTTTGAACTTCATGTCTATGTCTAATTAAGAACTCTAGAGGATGGTAGATCAAAATTCTTGATTGTTTGAAACAATCTTTTGCAGATGTGGATTGCTAAGGCGGAATATGATGAATCTGGGCCATCAATTGTCCACAGGAAATGCTTCTGATTTATTGAAGTTAAAAAGGGGGAAAGGGAACTTATACTAGACACATGTTCCTTCCACAGATGGAAGAGCTTTCTCAAGTGGTTGCTTATTTTCCATTAATATTTTTTTTTCTTTCCTTTTTTGTTCACCATTCTTTGTTCTCATGGTTATTTCATTTTGTTTTTTTTTTTTCTTTCGTTTTGCTGCTGGAACATTGAACATGGAAGCAAGCCACTCGCATTCAAGGTTCGATTTTTTTACCATTACTCTTTTCTTGTAGAGAAATTGTATTATCACTTATTTGGAAGGATTGAGTTGAAATCATTTTTTAAAGAAATTATCGTGTCAGATTTAACAATGATCAAAAGAACTACTGCATCATGAGAAATAATACCCACTTATCGACCGTAAGAAGTTTTTTTTAGTTCAATAACATTTGAAGGTTGAAATTCGAACTTCTGATATTTGATTGGGTGAGATTTACCATCAGAAATATGGCTGATTGAACTCAAATTTACAACCATTATCAACAAAGCTGAAACCCCAAATTCAATAAGTTTATTCCAACTTCTGAAGCAGAACGGCTCCAGATTCAGATCAAAACGTGAATCCCCGGCATTTGTTTATCTGAGTTATGGCCATAGAGAATGAACAAAAATAAAGAACCTCAAACTTTCTTCATAAAAGGAATTTGAGCAAAAAAAAACGCAAAAGAAAGCTCATAAATCAACCAAATGTTTCAAAAAGTTCCAAATCCCAAGTGCAAGTAACAGCTGCTGCTAAATGAGTGTTCTAATAGTCAGATTCATCTTTTCAACCATTCTCATCGACGCCTCAAAGAACAGAGAATTTTGATGGTCCAACGGTATCGGTGAACCCACGAACAGATAGATCTGGTATATGTGCCTTCTTCCCTTCAAACTCATGGTCCAGAAAGATGACAACAACTGTGATATCATCGTGAAAGAATCGTCGTGTGCCCTTTTCGAGCTTCTTGAGATCATCGTATCTCATCTCCCTCTTCCTCGCAGCCTCAGTTAAGGCTGTTTTAACTAGTCTTTTAGCAATTCCCTGATTTTGTCAAAAAGGGTGGGGCGATCAGATCAATGCTATGAACATATACATAAGAAACTTAAGCACTCGAGAATGTAACGTACTGCTCTTGGGTTATTATACACAATATCGACCGCTCGTTGATTCGACAAATGCTCCCAAAGGCCATCAGATGCAAAAATGAGAAATTTGTCATTTGGTTGTAGAACTCTTGTACTTAACGATGGTTCCGCAGTAAGAACAGGCCGTCGGAGAGGCTCTGCAAGGTGGAATCGTGGAAAGGATGGATCGAGAGAGAACTCTGGCTTTTTCAAATATGCATCGCCTATCGATCTCGAAACCTGATATACCACACAATGATTGAAAACCAAATTAAGGACACAAACACAGGAAGAGACACACCAGAAGACGATTTTCCAATCAAATGTATGCAAAGATACAACTTATAACAATTTTTATTTCGGTTCAAAAATTACAAGCAGTATGTATTTGATGTGTGATAGGTCAAGCCCACTGCTAACAAATATTGTCCTTTTTGGATTTTCCCTTTCGGGTTGGTTTTAAAATGCGTCTACTATGGAAAGGATCCAACCCTACTCCGACCAATGCCTCACACCATTTGGTGACTGGCCCTGATACCATTTGTAATGGCCCAAGCTCACCGCTAGCCGATATTATCAACTTTAGTTTGTTATGCATCGTCGTCAGTCTCATGGTTTTAAAATGCATGTACTAGGGAGGTCTCCACACACATATGAGGAATGTTTAGTTCCCCTCTCCAACCGAATTCTAAACATATCAGAATCTCCTCAAACTGTTCTACATGTTCAACAACATATAGTTCATGAGCAGCCAGAACAGACAAGTTCAGAACAAATAGAAGCTTTCGTAGCGTTTATATCAAACACGTATTAGGAAAAGTCATACCTGAATTATGCCTTTTATACGCCAAACTCCGTGTTTCATAACAACTATATGCGAGTCATCAGGATGCAACGACTTGAGCTCTTGTCGAACCTCCTCAATACTTGCATTGTGATCCTTTGTCAACTGTTCTGCAACTATCTTATTAGATTTACCTAAACAGCCAATAACAGCCCGGGAATCACCGACGTTACCGACGTATAATGTACCTCTCCAGATAACTCCCACCAGGCAACAAGATCCCATTGCTGCAATCGTCGGTTTTATTCCCCATGATCGACGAACAAGAGTAAGAAACCCTTCCTCAGTTGCTATAAATGCCCTTTGAAGAACATCTCCGGTTATGTCTCCACTTTCTTGAGCAAGTTCTATGATACAAAGAATGGCATACAGCTATTATTAGTACAAACACTTAAAAACAGAACTAATCCACCTAAGTTGCTTAGAAATCCTATAAAGTTCTGCAAAATATGATGCTAAAATGAAGATCATCATTGTTTATAAACAATCTCTTCAATATGTTCATCTTTTCTAACGTTTTCAAAGCTTCCAACAGTTCAAACATGTCACAAACCATAGATTTCAGGATCGAACACAGGGAATCCAAGAAGATCAACCAAGAACAATAAATAAAAAGCACAGTAAAAGCTCAAAAGAGTTCCAAACCCTTGGAGACATACTCATTAGGTTCTTGAAAAGATGATCACAGATAAAGCGAGAAGCATCAGGGCCGCCATGGCCATCATAAACGCCGACGAAAGTGGCATCACGGCCAATCTCAACCTGACTAAAATCCTCAATTACCTCATTCGCCTGAACCACAGCGAAAGAAAAATCCCCATAAGAGTGATTTTCGAGGTCTCTGCTCCACAACAAAGAGTCCTCTAAAGAACAATCTTCATCATCATCCTTGTTCATACGGGCATACCGTCTCACTGGTTTCCAACAAGCCGATGCCATCCTTGCCAGCCACGAAAACATCCCTCATTTCCCTCTGCAACAAAGCCCCAATACCCAATTTCTCAAAGAGGGATCGATTAAACGAAAACGAATCGAATTGGGTATTTCAGAAATTGAGAAGAAATTCCAAAATGGCAAAGACCCAGAGAAGAAATTTGCGATTTGAAGCAGTAGAGAGTAAAGAACAAGGGGGAAATTGAAGGAATGCTTAGAGAAAGAACCAAAAGCGAAGAAGAACAGTAATAGAAGCAAAATCAAATGGGTTATGGAGAACAATACCAATAAATAAATTGCAATTCAACACTAGTTTCTGTGCTTCAGAGAGAGAAACAGAGAGACGAAGAATAAGAGAGGAGGTTTCCACACTGAGCAGCCTCTGGAAGGAAAAAAGGAAGGGGAAAGTTTGACGAAAGCGCGTGTCAGCGAGTGGTGACAAAAAAGTTTCTTTTTTTTATTTTTTTTTCCTTTTTAAATTTTTATTTGATTTAAATGCTTTTTAATTTTTTAGACTAATAATTATTCTATTTGAGTGGCTTCAATTTTATATTATTATTATTATTATTTACACTTTAGCCCTACACTAATTAATATTTATTTTTCGGATCGGATTATGAGTTTAATGTTCGTGTTCACATTTATTGTACTAAAACAAATTTAAAAATAAAAATAAAAAAAGCTAAAAACTAAATAGCTTTTGTATAAAGGTTTCAACTTGGGTGAAATTACAATTTCTGCCACCGAAAAACCACAGGCAGCGATCACCTTGGAGTTTGACTAATTGCAACCACCGCTTTAATTTTTAAAATAAATTAAAAAATGATTATTAGGTATAAATAAAATAAGTGACATTATATAATATTATCCTTCATAGTTAACTAAATCAAATCTATGATTTTTTTAAAATTCTTTATCATTTTCTAATTTATTATTCTATTTTTTTAATTAGATTTGCATCTCGCATTTTTCATCATTTTTAAACGATAAATAATCTATTTAAATGATCAAAATAATGTAATTATGATCGAACACATTATATTAAAATTCATTGACAACAATAGCGTTGATAAATTAGCTAATTTATTTTTTTCTATAATATTTTTTAAAGGACCGTATTGAGTTGGATCGGGATGAAGTTAATAGAGAACCAAATATGAAATTTTAGAGGTGAGGACGAGGGACGAACAGAGGACACGTGGACGGCAAAGGATGAGAGCTAGTTTTTCTTGAATCGAGTAGAAAGAAAAGTGGGAGAGGTGGGGAAATGAAAGGCACAAGGTGAATGTGAATTGTGAATTGTGAAGAAGAAGAAAGATGTTCTTTTTCTTTTTGCCCTTTTGGGTTTGGTTCGGGATCACAAGCTTCCTATTTTCCTTTTATCTCTCTCGGGCTAAAAGTCGAGATAATAAGTACAAATAAAACATAATAGAACTTCACGAGAAATTATTCTAGAAGGTCATCATAATAAAACTAATCTCATATAGTTGGATATATAAGAAAGGAACTGCTTTACATTTGTCTAACTATGATTATACAGATATGCAAATTTTCAATCTACATATTCGATAATTTTCAATCTGCACTGACGGTATTGTAATATTTTTTTTGCTAAATTAATAAAAATATCATTGAACCTTGCACTCTGTGTAAAGAATATCTAAAGTTCGCACATTGTTTTGCATTGTAATGGTCAAAGGAAAATATTACTCGTGCGTCACGAGAAAAGAAACTAACCACTTAAAAAAAAGCTCGTAGTGAACCGAATTCACACTTTTGGTATAAAAAACGCTTAGTTCGACACCGAGAAGCACAAAGAGCTTCCTTGTAGAGTAAATAGAATAAGAAGCAAATACAAAGTGAATGGAATAAAAGAAAAAAGCAGGAAGGAATGAAGAAGGTATAATATTAGGGGGAGGGGTAAAAAGGAGATTTCAGCCTCATCTAATAATTTAGAGAATCAGACAATGTCACTTATCAAACGTCTGTGAGTGTTGTAATGTTTCTCTAATAACACCTTTGATGCCCCTTCCACTGTTCTTCGCCACGTCTGCATCGTACACCCCAAAAATACATTATTATATATATTATAATCATTTTATAGTTAACAATTTCATGAATTTAATATAAAATTTTAACTATATATATTTTATATTTATGGATAATACATATTTTTAGGCTTATTTGAGCAATTTATGATGAAGAAATAAATATTATCTATTAAATACTTTTTAAATTAAGAAGAAAAAAGGAAAACAAAACAAAATTAATTCATTTTAAAATTGAATTATAATCTAGTGAATGCAATTAAAAAATATGGAATTACCTTTTGAATGGCTCCAAGGAAAGATTTGTTTCTAAAATCTCTAATCCTCAGCTGCTGAGACCTTCCACTGCCACTTCCAATCCCGATTTTCTTCAACACAACCGATTTCCTCCCCGCCGGCGGAATCAGCCACTTCCGCTCCACCACACCGCCGCCGGATGGGCTCTCGCACTCCTCATTCGGCCTCCTCCGCCGCCTCTTAACCACTGTCGACAGCCTCCTTCCGCCGCCGGACTCCGAGCCCACCTCTGCAAACTTCTTCAAAAGCTGGTCAGAGGACTTCCTGGGAACATGCTGAACACTGCCATTAACGCCAAGTGAAGAAGAATCCATGGTTCTAGAGAGAGAGAGAGAGAGAGAGAGAAGAAAAGGGAAAGTGGAGATAGAGTGAGAAATTGGGAATATGGGTTTAGAATAATAAAGGGAGAAATTAAGCCGTTGGGGTTAGTGAACGAATAATTTTGTATTTTTTCCAATTTAATCAAGTTTTCAAATATAGCCGTTGAGGGAGTGATAATGGAGAGACAGAGCAATAAGAGAGAAACACAGAGAGGGCGTTTGTTTGGTCCGAAGAAGACAATCCGACGTGTCCTCATTTGCGTTTTCTGAAATTCCCATGTTCTTGCTGACAAGGATCCCGATTCCTTTGACCGACGGCGACGTGAATAACGGATCTTGTCGGGTCGGGTCGGGTCATGCTTTCTGGGTTTATTATTTTATTTTCTTCTCGGATTTGGATCCAAATTTTAGATTTCTAATTTATATTTAATATATCAATTAATTTTAAAAAAATTAAAATTTTAAGAAATTTACTAATAAAAAAAACAATTAAAATTTTACAGACCTATTTAAACACAATTTTTTTTAAAAAAAAATGGGACTAAACTCACACTAATCCTTACTAAAAAAAATATTAATTTAGCACTATCATCCTCCTCCCCAGAAGATGAACTGTTGAGAAAATGGCGATCATTCTGCATTTCACTGCAAACCCTTTTTACACCATACATAAACAACTGAATTCCAAACCAGATTCTCGATCGATCGCTTTAATGTTTCTTTTGACATAATAATCAGCTGAATTCAGTCTCGAAACTCAGAACGTGGCAGTCGAGATTTCTCAAATTAAGCTGCAAAGGGGATGAGGACAACATTATCTTTGGAATCAATTATAGTTGAGATACAGAAGATGGAGGGGGGCCAGTAAAAAACACACAAAAAATATCCATAGCCTCTCTCGACTTTAATGAAGTTTCCAAGGAAAAAGACGACGACGATGCAGATCATTTGGTTGCATGAACATTAAAAGTTCGACAAACAAATGAGGGCCAATTTGTTGAGAATAAATATTTGTATTGGTAATTCTCTATATAAACAACATGCTTCAACCTTTGATCTAACAACTTTTCACTCCAACAGTAATGACTAGGGGAGATGCGGTAAACAAGTATAAATATTGGGTAAAGGTGAATCAGTAAAAGAAAATTACCATTACGGCAACCCCATTCTCGCAAAATCTTGGAATTGCGATGAGTCTTACCATCTGTCCTTCAGAACCTGCATTTTCAAAAAGTAATATACATGACAATAAATTACCTTGTTCATACATCCTTTAGGAGAAGTAAATCAGCAATTATACTAATTAATATAGAGAGTTTATGTGAAAATATACCCTTTATTAAGCGAGTATCAAACTTGTCCTGATTGCCAATAAAATAGACATGAGGACAGCTTTCAATCAGGAAAGGATCTCGATCGGTGAAAGGGTAACAACCTGTAAGGCTCGAACAATATAAATACTACTTATGAAAAGTTTTATATTATTGCAAATTTTTTTATAAAATCAAGAAGAGATTGTTTCAATGGCTTATCCACCAACACAAATAAGAATGTAACATGTACCAAGAGTATTTGGAGCAGTTGGTGCTAGATGCCTCCATCTCAAGCTCCTCTCCATAAATTCAAGTTTATCTTTAGCTTCGGAATACTTGTCAAGATCGTCCACATTCTGGCCTGATGTTCCAAGAAACCTGAAACCAAAGGACTACCAATTGAAGTGTGGCTGATTCAAGTTCACACTAAACAGCCAATTACCCTATCAGGATGACATTATTGACTTGCCTGAAATTATCAAGCTCAAAACAATGAGGGTTAGTGCAAGATCTGAAAGTGTTATAAGCTGACGATCCAGGAAAAAGGCATCTGTGCAAAGGCTGCAACGAAAATGACATTATGGACAAATCAAACAAGGGATAAAAAGCAGGAGTTTCGGCTGTAACCTGCTGGGGTAACGAAAAATTGGCTGGGTCACTGGGACCCGGCATGATGTCCACAGATAAACCTGCAGCAAGCTGATGAAAAGGATAATGGATTTACAATCAGGTAATTGGATTAAAGGAAATAAGAATATAAATTTGAATTTGATAAAAAGTTGGACTGAGAATCAACTGGATAAGAACCTGATTCAACAGGATATCTAACTCTTTAAGCGGTTCTGTCAGCTTCGTTTGGTCCTTAGCAGATAAGTGCTGCAGAAATACATCATGCATGCATCAACAAAAAGCCTAGCATCCCTGACATTACTAGGGAATGCACAGAAATTAATTGAATACTGGGATAGCTCTAAATTTACCCTTATCCTTATCTAACAAACGTCACGTTAACCTTTCTTTCATTTTCTTCTCGAAATTAGAAAATTACATGATTTATGTGATTACGTTTTATCATAGACTGCCCTTCATAGTATTCCAAAGAAAACGATTACGTTTCCTTTCTTTTTGTTTTCTTTCATTTTCTTCTCGAAATTAGAAAATTACATGTTAAATAAGAACTCCAGTAAATTAATCAAGAAAAACCATAAAACGAATTGTTCCATTCAAGGCTTCTTGTAAAAGTTCAAGAAGACCAGCCTTTCAATTCTTTCATTCGTAGGTAATGACAACAAAAGATACTACATTCGTTAAAGAAAATAAACTGATCTCGGCAACATATTTAAACATATTGAAACAGGATATATCAGAAACATAGTTTGTGAAGCCTCTACCTGCCCATTTAAAAGTCCACGAGGAATTTCAACGGAATTCCCAGCAATAACAACATGAACTACTTGAGCCGCAATCCCTTGTTCCTGTTCAGTTAATGGTTCTAAAAATCTTAGCAACTGATAAACATTTAGAGAGGGAAAATATAAAGATGAAACCAACCTTCTCATCCCCTAAATGTCCTGTTATATGATCAACAAGCAGCTGAAACTGTAGAGGATTAGAGCAACTGCTCCCAATACTTAGGCCCGACACAAAAACCACGTATTTATCTTCGTCTGCATACATTTGAACCTTTTTTAATATAAGAAATACTGCTATAAAGCATCTTGGACCCTCATGAACCTTCATAATCATTTTGAAAGGAGTGTCATATTCTCTTAGGAAGATTATTAATATTCAAACCACATTCCACTATGAGGAGACCTTAGTCTAATTAATCAAACGGTAACCATCATCCATCTACAGAGAAACAGCCAGTCGTATTAAGGAACAATTCAAAAGTGAGTGAAGAGCAGTGCCCCCTGGTCGTTCACCACAATCGCACAAAATATGTTGCAATTGACAGACATTTCATTAAAAAGTAAAGCATGACTCTTATCTATACACCCTCCTCGAGGCTTCAAAATGCTCACATTCTCAAAGCTCTACCCATAAATAATAAATAACAAGTAATGAATCCTCAACTATTTAAGGAACAATAAACTAATATGGCAGCAATTGGTGACATTAAAGTATAACAAAAATACGTGATTAAACCTCTCACTACATAATAATTGAATCCATTTCACTCCTGTCAAAAGATGGAAACAGTAAATACGAAAAAAAGAGGGAGGTTATCCCATCTTACTTGGTATGAGAGGCCGCTCTATCTGAGGTGGCAAGCCAGCTTCTAGGATGTCATCAACAAAAAAGTCACCAACACAGGTTTCCTTTCCATGCAATGCAACAATAATCCCTGGCACACATAATAGACAATACATTAACGTGCTCCCGAACAAAATATTGGTTTACACATTATGAATTGTTGCAAGTTGCATTAATTGCAGCAGGGAAGAAAAACAATACATGAGCAGCAACAAAAATTGCAATATGAATCAACTCATACAAAACTAGAAGAGAAGTTAGAGGATGAACAGGTGCAGCATGTACCAACATGCTCAAAAAATTGATCACAATTTTATGCAATTCCTCGAGGATATAGCTGGGAAAAGGGCATCATAGTTCTATTCGATTTTATTCTGTGATACGGACCTGTAGCATATACAGAAGGTAAAAGCACAGCCCCAGAAAGCTTTACTCTCCCACTGTCATCTTCCAAGACTAGATAATCATCTGGATGCATAAAGTTGTGTGGCTTAACAAGTGGGGTGACAGATCTCTGTACATTCCATTTAAGTGTCTCAATCAAATCCCATAAAGCCAAAATCATAAAAGAGTCGTATAAATGGTAGTTGACATATTTGTTTGAAGTATTACCTCCTTTGAATACTCGTCCAGAATGGTAGGTTTAAGTTTCATGTGCTTGTAGAGGGTTCCAACGATGACACATTCCTTGCCTTCCTCCAACTCCAATACAGTACGAACTGCAAGACATTGTTTTCAAGAAAAAATTTCAACTGACCCATAAAACCCATTCCTCAAGAAATTCCTTCTAAATTCTACCTTAAATTATGATTAAAAACACAATGCTTAAACAGTTACACTTGCAACTTACATGCAAGACGAAAAGCTAAAATGCTATTTAAAGTAAGGATTGGTTCAAATCCATCCTAAATTGAGTCCAACCATATCAATACGAACACTGAACTTTTGAATGTGTTAAGATATCAAAACCCACCAAAAGGGAGAAAATGAACCGATTAAAGGACCCTAAAATCAATAATTATTATGTACTCATGCATCCAGAACAAAATCCACTTTCCATCCCACTTCTCATGGTATCAAATAGAAAAATAAAATGAAAGGGGAAAATAAATACCAGGTAAATGGGGTTTCCACTTAGATACAAGTGAATGAAGTATCGTTCTTATCAAGTGGAGTCGAACAAAGTAAATATGACTGTATTGCTGGCCCTTGTACGTCTCCTTCTGAATCTTGTACTGCTCATCCTACATCAAATAACATCATTTAGCCCAAAAAACAAACAAATAAACAACAAACCCGCGAGATTGTTCCCAATTCCCGCGCATTTTCCGGCCTTCATTGTATTCCGTTACTGAAGTAAGTGAAACGAGCAAATAACAAGGGAAATTTTCTCCCACTTCCAAAGTAGCCGTGCTGGGGGAAAGAAAAAAGGCGGGAAAGCCAAAAGAACTTTCGAGGAAATTAACAGCGAACTAAGAAATAGAAGAGACTGAGAGATACCAATATTTCATAGGTACACTGCTTGCGCTGGAGATTCTTCTGTGAATCGATTTCCATGGCGAGGAAGAGAATGATTTTACTCCGACGAACCTCAATCGGTAGGGTAGAACCGTAGAATTCCCTCGCTTAAAAATTGGCGCAATTTCCAGACTGCTTTTTCATTCCCCAAAACTTCAATTCTAAAATTCTAAGAGAAAAACTTGGGCTGTACTTGGGCCGCTCCAGCTTTGCAGCCCACTCACGTGGCCCAGTTAAAAGGTTAAAGAAATTTGTAAATTATGGGCCGTACATGGGCCGCTCCAGCTTTTGCAGCCCATTCACGTGGCCCAGTTAAAAGGTTAAAAAAATTAAATTGTGGGCCGTACCTGAGCTTTTACATCCCACTCACGAGGCCCAGTTAAAAGGTTAAAGAAAATTTGTAAATTATAGGCCGTTTCTGGGCCGCTCCTGCTTTTACAGCCCACTCACGTGGCCCAGTTAAAAGGTTAAAGAAAATTTATAAATTATAGGCCGTTTATGGGCCGCTCCTGCTTTTACAGCCCACTCACGTGGCCCAGTTAAAAGGTTAAAGAAATTTGTAAAATATGGGCCGTACATGGGCCGCTCCAGCTTTTGCAGCCCATTCACGTGGCCCAGTTAAAAGGTTAAAAAAATTAAATTGTGGGCCGTACCTGAGCTTTTACAGCCCACTCACGAGGCCCAGTTAAAAGGTTAAAGAAAATTTGTAAATTATAGGCCGTTTCTGGGCCGCTCCTGCTTTTACAGCCCACTCACGTGGCCCAGTTAAAAGGTTAAAGAAATTTGTAAATTATGGGCCGTACCTGGGCCGCTCCAGCTTCTGCAGCCCACTCACGTGGCCCAGTTAGAAGGTTAAAGAAAATTTGTAAATTATGAAATTTAAAAAATTATGCAAAAAGAAAAATAGAGAGGAAAGAAGACACGCGGTCCATAATTTACAAATTAGGATGTGAGGCGTTCATTTATAAAAATAAAATAAAATTAGGCTTAAAAAATCTCCACAGACACGCGGTCGCAATTGATTGGCCAAGAAGAATCTCTCCGGTGCAGAGGCAATGCTGTAGATTTCTCCCCCATTGCCACACTCCTCCGCTCTCTCTCTCTCTCTCTCTTCCGAACTCCGGAACCGTTCTTCACAATTTCCATCTCTCAATTGCTGTTACAGCTGAAAGCGATCCTCTCCAATGGCGTCTCTACACGCTTCTCTCCCTTCAGTCTCATCAATTCGTTTCCGTCGTCCACCGCTGGTTTCTCCCAGCACTCTAACTTCCTTGGCTCTGCAGTCCAGATTGCCGTCCAATGGTCGTTGCCGGAGAATTCTCCGCAGGCGGTTCTGTAGAGCTATGGTTCAGCAGGCCGCACAAGGATCTCCGGCGATATATGCCAAGGAGATGGAGAGACTCTCTGCTAAAGAATCGCTACTGTTGGCTGTGAGTATCAGTGTTTGAGTTTCTTAAGTAGTATTAATTTGTTTCACTTCAACGATGGCGGTGTTAGTAGAGCGTAGCACAGACAGGGGATTATGTATGTATATCGGTGATTTTAGTATTCTGAGGTTAATGTTCCTTATGCAGTAAAAAATACATTGCGTTGTGAAAATTGAAAACATGCTTGATTTAATGCCATTTTTTGTTTAGAGAAGCTACTTTTCTGTAATTTGAATGTAACGGAGTACGTAGTTTGATATTTTTAGTTTCCCACTATAAGTTGGTAGCAGTTTTCCTGGAACTGAGAAAGCTGGTTGACGATTAGAATTCAAAATGGCTCCGATATCAATTTGTGGTGGTTTACCTCAATGAGCTTTTAATCTTGGGTCAAGAGAAAAAGAAAAAAAAAAAAGATGATCCCCCCGATCCCCTTACACCCTTTTTATAAACAATAAAGTTTTGTTTTTTAAAATTGTTTTTTTTTTTTTTTTCTCTCTCTTTCTAATCTTCAACTGGCCCAAAATTATCTAAAAAATAGTTAGTCTTACTGTTTTAACTAATGGGAACTGAAAGAGGGAGCTGTCACATTTCTGAACGAGATGGTTAGGAGAAATGCATCCTCTCCTCGCAGAATTCATTATCTTTTCAATTATTTCTTTTGGTCTAACATTTTGTAGGCTGAATTTTTTCAATAGAACGTGTATTCACCCACTATTCTCTGTGATTTGAAACATCGTAATGTATGAATTCAAGAAATAGAATAGATTGGGAGACAGTTCCAATCTCTTAATCTACCTTTCCAGAACATTTATTTTTCTTTTTTCTCTTACTTTGAAACTCGGGTAAGTTTTATGAGTATGAATTTATGCCTATCGATCTGTTTCAGTCTATGTTCTTTCCTTCTTTTCCTTGCTTTTGCCTTGATTCGGGTTCTGGCATGCTTTGTTTGATAGAAAAATATCGGATTTTGTTGACCTTCTTTCTTTGGTTGGAGAGTTTTGTTGTATGGAGAGAAGGATTGTTCGTATTTAGAATCCTGATCTAACAGAAGTGTTCTCGTGTAAATCATTTTTTCTTTGTTTGGTTAATCCTTCTCCCTCAAGTGATTTATGCTTTGTCTCATTGTAGAAGGTAAAAGTTAAGTTTGACAGCCCTCCACGAAAGAATTAACACCTTGGACAGTGTGGCAAGGAGGTGCCCAACTTGATGGCATGGTTGTGTTGCATCTTTGCAATAAGGGCGGTAAAGGATTTGATCATATTCTTTGGAGTTGTGATTTTGCGTACACAATATGAAACCAATTCTGTGGGGAGTCCGATCTAAGCTTGACTAGGTATAGGGACTACAGAGAGATGATTGAGGAGTTACTTCTCCAACCTCTCTTTCATGAAGAGGGAAGGTATTTGTGGTAAGCTGGTGTGTGCGCCACTCTGTGAGACCTTTGGGGAAAGAGGAACAATAGAATATTAACCAATATTGAGAGATCTTCAAGCGAGGTTTTGTCTTTGGTTGGATTGTATGTTTCTCTATGGGATTCAATGACGAAGCCTATTGTAATAATCCGTTAGGTCTCATTGTACTGGATTGGAGGCCCTTTTTGTACTTTACCTTCCTTTTTGTGGGTTTTCTTTTTGTATACTCTTGTATTCTTTCATTTTTTTCTTAACCAATGTTCGGTTATTGATTAAAAAAAAATTAGTATGAATGTATGCACTCCATCAAGTGCAACTGTGTTAATAGTGATGTGTGAATTTCTGTTATGTATTTTTCTGAACAGTGATACGTATCTCTACGATGTTTGTACATACAAATTCTAAGTCTTCGCTTCTGTATGTCAGTTTCACGTTATTAAGTTTTATTTTTGTTGTTTCTAATGTAGATCAATTGTTTCAGTTCAAAGATGCTGGTGGTTTTGAGGCTTTAGTTACTGGAAAAACAACGGATATTCAGCGAATTGATGTGAATGAGAGAATAACTGGTCTTGAGCGTCTTAATCCAACTTCTCGACCAACAACGTATGTTTCTTGTAGATCTTCTTTTTTAGTCTTTTAAATACTTTCTGTGGGTTTGGATGTTTTTACTTGTATGTTTTAGTTGCTCAGGTCCCCTTTTCTGGAAGGTAGATGGAATTTTGAATGGTTTGGTTCTGGAAGTCCAGGATTTGCTGCTACGTTAATATTTCAGTAAGCCTATATTTCTGTACTAGTACTTCTTTTCTTTTCTTTTATTTTCTTTTTTTCCGTAGCCACATTGTCAGGTAAAATGTTACTGAAAAATTCGAGTGCCATCATAGCTGAGATTCTTTGTTCTTGTAGGAGATTTCCGTCAACTCTGGCTAATTTGTCAAAACTGGACGCTTTTATCAAAGATGGAACTGCTAGGATTACTGCTAATGTTAAGCTATTAAACGCGGTAATCTTTGAGCTTGTAACTATATTTTATAATATTCAGCTTTCGATTCACCCGCGTGAATATGACATCTCATCATCTAGTTTCTCAGCCCGATATTTTATCAGATGATGTGTTAAATGAAATTACGTAATTCCTTTTCTGTTGGGACTACTCTTACTAGTTTCTTTGACCTGATTGTGTTTGTCTTCTGAGATTAGTGGGCTATGAATTAAGGTTTTACTGGCAACTGCAGATAGAGAGTAAAGTTATTTTGTCCACCAAGTTATCTGTGGAGGGACCCTTACGACTGAAAGAGGAATATATTGAAGGGATACTTGAAACACCTTCTGTTAGTGAACAAGCAGTACCAGAACAGCTGAAAGGCTTATTTAATCAGGCAGTCAACACAATGCAGCAACTTCCAGTTCCTATCAAAGATGTCCTTGCCAGTGGGCTAAAAGTTCCTCTAAGTATGGTACTTTTTCACGATTTCTTTAATTTTATCAATTTATTAAAGCTGACAGATTATTTTTAATTTTTCATTCTTCATCCGCGGTTATTTTATTTTTAACATTATTATTTATTTCACACATCCAATATGAAAAGCTATTGAGAGGACCTGTTGAAAACATTACAACATCTGTGGGGAATGGGGCTACGTCCTCTTAGAAGACCCGTTGCTTTCATAATTCTACTGTTCCACTCATTTTGGACTTAATCGATGATTTTAGTCTTGGTTTGAACATTTGTCTATTGATCACGGTAAAACTGATTATGGAAGTACAAAGCTTGTGGTTCATTACTGTGATCTTTTTTTTTTTTTTTTAGGAGAAAAATAGAAGAAATTCATCCAAAAGACAAACAGCCAAGCAGAACAGCCTATGGTGCAATGGCACAAGGCATCCTTTTTCCCAAGTCCTCCAGTCTAGGTTGACATTGTAGATGGAGTAATAATAAATAAATAAATAAATAAAAAGCTTGTGTTGCCCACTCCACTTAGAGACCATAAACTTTCCAAGATCACAAAAATAGGCTAGAGAAGTATTCATATCTGAGAGGACTCTAGAATTCCTCCTTCCAGAGAAGCCGAAGGGATTTCCTTAAAAGATGTATCCAGAGAACTCTTGGTTTTCCCTTAAGCCACCACTCTGATAGAGATTCTGCCATCCAGCTCCCCACAAGCTGCGGTTTACAACCCCTGAAGACCAAACAGCTTGTGGTTCATTAATACTTCAAGTTTGAATATAGATTGTGATGTTTAAAAACCTTTTATCACAACGATTGTATTATGAAGCTGACTATCTGATAAGAAAACAGCTAAAGATTCATTCATATAAAAGGTGAAGATCATGATAGAAAAGAATAGTGAGGGAGGTAAGGAATCTTCTCAGCACAATCCCAGGACTTAGAGAATATCTTCCAAGTAACAGAATATCTTCCAAGTAACACTGATTAAGAAAGTAGAATAGCTATGAAAATCCATGTAAAGCAGTTTAAATTCGAATCATTAATATTATAGTTTGACATTTTGGACTCTGCTTTATAAGTCTGAAGTGATTTCATGGTCTTGGATGCTTGTCAAAACCATTAATCATGGACCTTTGCCAAAGAATGGCTCAGTTGACAGTTGATGCATTGGAATGGATATTAAGTTTTATGTTTTGATAGTGTCACATCTGATCATTTATTGTCTCTCCTTTTTTGCACCTATGTTAAAAGTGAACAAAATATGAGCTCTTTTCTAATTGTTTCAACTTCATGCTAAACCTCTTTACCATTATGTGCCTGCAGCTGGATCTTATCAGAGGCTCATGATGATTTCTTATCTTGATGAGGAAATTCTAGTAAGTAATTTTCTATTTGGATCAGAACTTTCTATCATTTATATGGTATGATGGATTTAGAGAAAGAACAAAAGTCCCATTCATGTCAATAAAGTGCATCCATCAACTAGATTGATTTGGTTATGCACCAAGTGAGTCCGTTACCATCTGTTTTATTGATCTTATTTAAAATTGACGTTTTAGTCAATATTTTTATCTAGCAAAACTATGAATAGGAAGCCATGTCATTTGTGCATGACAATGTCTTTCTGATAGGAAGGAAAAGCTTCACTTAGTCTAGAAGCAATAGGGAAGGAAGAGTAAGAAAGGGATTTTGTATGGGAATTTGAGAGATTGTGTGAATATAAGTGAAGGTTACCACTATAGAGATTAGAGCCATTGATCTGCAAAATTGCATGGTCTTGAACTTATATAACTTTTCATTAAAATAGAGTGAAAAGTTACGAACAGAAAAAGAGTTCAAACTACCCCCCAACAGCAAAAACAGCATTAGTATAGCTTTTCTTATGCAGCAAAAACACAAGACTCCCCCGAAACACAAGACGACCCCGAAACAATTCAAATTTCCCCTACAACAATATTTCGAACAAAAAAAGAGTTCAAAATATAATTTAAACCAGAAACAGAAAAATCCTCAAACTACCAAACTAATGATATATCGTAAAGAACCTTTGTTAAGAACAATTGAAAATATCCGTCATACTTCCGCCACCCATTAAACGATCTATATTCCTTTCTAACCATAACCATATATTCCACAAAAAAGAATTTACAGCATCGTTCACAAGTTCCCTGCTTTTCCTTTGAAAGGAATTCCACGTAATAATTGCTTCACGCTCTCTTTCACAATGATGAAATACCCACAATAGTCTCACCAAATTCAGCAAATGGTCCCACAAATTCCTACAGAAAGGACTAGAAAACAATGCATCGCAACATTTCTCTATCCTCCAATCACAAAGAACATCGAAAAGGATTTGAAACTTAAACAAGGACATGTTCCTTGCAGCCTCTCCGTTGTATTTAGGCTCTCTACACATGCTGATCAAAGGAAGACTTTGGCCTGTTTTTGTCAACTTTAAAGCTACTTAAGATCTTAGCAGCATCAGCCAATTTGTGAAATAGAGCCCTCACCAAGGGGCAACACTTGGTTCCAACGACCAAACTTTTTTTTTTGTCTATACCTTGATCTCAACAGAACTAGCCATCTGCAGCAACAACATTAACTTATTTTCCTTTTCTTCATGCAAAATTCTTCTATTGTGACTTAATCCACCACCACATTCTGTAATACAACACTGGAACCTTGACTGCCAAAGGACCATCATCTTACCCACTCATCTTCCCAAAACTTGGTTATCATCCCATTCCCAACTTTTGTTCTTTAAAACTTCAATACCACATCTTGTAATTTTACAATTCCTCCTCTTTCATCCCTCCCAAATCATTCCTCATTTTCCTCAACATCAATATTGACAACCACTGAAAACCAAAGTAGACTGTTAAAATATTGAAAAAAAAAAACATCCAGCTTTCTTATTGTTAAAATATTGAAATATGAAATTGCATTTGAGATTTAGAAGAATATGAGTAATTTGCAAATGGTTTTGGATTGGTACAGATTATTAGGGATACTTCTGGCGTGCCTGAAGTTCTTACAAGGCTGGAGTCTCCTCCATCTCCCCTGGAGCCAAGCACGACAGACTATGAAAGCTAGTGTAATCTTTCTTTAATGCACTTCCATTATAAATAATTAATTCCATCTCTCACTCTCTCCCTGTCAGGTTCTTTTGCCTTTTCCTCCCACACACTTCCAATTTATGAATGACATAGCAATTGAAAAATTCTTTAGTCCTTTCTGCCATAAAACTTAGCCAAAAGGTAAAAGAATTCATTCATGCAACTAAAGAAGTGAATTAGGAAAAAAGAACAAAAAAAAGTAGTGGAAATTGCAGTTGGGGGGTCCTTCTCTGTCCCCATCCTTGCCCCATTTTTTGATTTCATGGAACTGCTTCGAAACTTTTCTTGCCTGCAGCCTGCAGCCTGCAGCCTTGGCCAGCAACCAGGCATGTGTTCCAATGCATTAAGTGCCATTTGCCGACTCCATATTTAATGATCTTTTTTCTTTTTTCTTTTTTTTTTTGGTTCTGATTTGTTTGAATTTCTTACAAATGTCTCTTGGTCGGATGAATTTTTGGCCTCTTGAGTTGATGAATTTTTGGTCTCTTAGCGGAGGATGTTTTAACTAGTTTTTTTATATTATTAATAAAAATGAAGGCTCACTAAAAATTATTTGTTTCATTTATTTGTTACTTTTTATTTATTTCGTTAGTTATTTATTATTTATTATTTAATTTTATGGTAACTATCACGTCATAGGTAATGAAAACACAAAAGATTGAAAAGTTTCTTATTTTTGTTTGTTTTTAAATGTTTGTTTGTTTGCTTTGTGTTTTTTTTTCCTTGGCCGGCTTCAGATCCGGCGGCGGCGGCGGCACATAAATCTTTTTTAATTTTAATTCAGATAAAACGAAAAGAATCCAAGCATAACCTTTAAGCTGCCACATCAATTTTCATAACTTATTTTGATCCTCTGCACTCCCCATTTCTATCGAGATTTAGAAGTAGGACGAGTATCTAAAGCCCGGATTATCTCTCTGAATCAACTTATTCACTGGATTGTTAAGCCATCGAGTCCTCTAGGGTTGATCGACCCCTTTCAAGAACAAGACATAATTTTTTAAATAAAATATTTGATCGACTCGAGCATATTACTTCAAACGCTTAATCCATTATTGTTTCAATATTTTGAGCAACCTACTTCTATTTGCTAACATCATCAATATGCTGTGACTAGTAATTTATTTATTATCATATCAATTTAATAAAAAAGATTATCATTTATTTAAAATGCTAGTACAATTTAATTAAAAACAAATTGATATTATATGATTTGATAGTTGGAAAATTGGCCAAATTCTAATTTCTTGTTATATTATTCCCCCTATTTCTTATAAAGGGGAAGTTTGAATCTAATTAATAAAATAATTTAAATTTGTGAAATAGTTGCATATATACTAGTGGGAGGCGACTTCGATTGTTAAATAAATTATATATATTAAAAAAAAACAAGCAATTCTTGCAAGAAAAGGAATTAATTAATAAAAAATTAATGTGGATGAACACGTTCTAACTTCATTTGCCAACCAATTTATTTATTTATTTATTTTGTATTTGATAATGAAAAACGTCGAGAAAGACATTGGCAACTGCCCCATCCATTGGGATTAAACAAATGAAAATTTTAATTTAATTTCCACGTCAATTTGCGATATTATGAGTTGATTTATTTATTTATTTATTTATTTGTCGTCTCCAAAGGAACATATATCAATGGGTAATTCGACTTTTGCTATTTTCTTTTTAATTTAATAAATATTTTCCAAAATTTTAGATTTTGTTTTCTGGTGGATTACTTAAAGAAAAACAATATGCACTCACACCACACACACAAAATTGGCTTAAATTCTATATATATTTTTTTCAAAATTTTATTAAATTTTAAAATGTACTTTAAAAAATTAATATTTTTGTAATAATTTTAATCCTTTTTCTAAAAGATTAAATTATCATAGTGAAGGGGAAAAAAAACTAGCTAAAAACCTATAAAAAGAAAATGTGAAAATAAAAAAGAAAAATGTATATTTTCCCACAAACAAACCATTTAATACACCAAAAAAAAAAAAAAAAAAAAAAAAAGGAAAACCCAAATGGTAATTAATTATGTAATATAATTAACCACAGAAAATTGGAGAGTAATTAGCAAATTAAAAAAAAAAAAAAAAAAAAAAAAGGAAAACCCAAATGGTAATTAATTATGTAATATAATTAACCACAGAAAATTGGAGAGTAATTAGCAAATTAAAAAAAAAAAAAAAAAAAAAAATCAAGCAAATTGAGTTTCTTCAAAACCATGCATTATTTGGTGAGCAGAAGGAAGCAGTGGAATTTCACCCAATTCTTCAATAAACCCTTCGAACCCAACGACGTCGTTCCACAACCCAACCACGTCGCTCAACGCCTCTTCTTCTTCTTCCTCTTCCTCCTCCTCCTCCTCCTCCTCCTCCTCTTCCCGATCTTCCGTCTTCACTCTCCGACACTCTCCGCCGCCCATCTCCGACTTCCGATGATCAAACGCCGTCGCAACATCCGCCACTGCTGCCGGAGGAATTTGAGGCGGAACAATCTTCTCCTCCGCCGTCGCCGGCTTTCCAGTCAGTCTCTGAACGAGCTCGCGGAAATTAGCGACGTCGGTTTTAATAATCTCCGGTGCGAAGATGTGAATGATACGAATCTTCGGTTTGGGCTTGGAAATTGCGTGTGAAGCTGTGTGCAACGCCATGGCCCCCGGGCGCGCCGAGTTCTGCAACAGAGCCCGTTTCTTCATAATCGCCTCCATTTACAGAGAAAAATCGAAGGTATAATAATGAATTTTGTTTTTTCTTGGGAGAGAATCTGTTCTGAAAAAGGGTTGAGAGAGAATGTGTTTGGTTGAACAGAAATTAAGAGAGAGAGAACCGGAATTTATAGAGAGAGAACAGTGAAAGAGGGAAACAAGGGGTAGAAGTGGTATTTCGCAATCAATTTCTGAAATTTTTTCAAAACATTTATAAAAATTATATTAAAAAAAAAACTCAAATCAATTGAGCCTTTTCAGCCAATTAGTAATAGTATGTATATTACCAATAATTATATTCCAAAAAAAATGTTAATTTTATTTATTTATAATAATAATTATATTCCCAAAAAAATGTTAATTTTATTTATTTATAATAATAATTATTGTTTTGTAGATAAAAATCTTTTGCACGTGTTTGTCTTTATATATATATATCAACATCATTATAATATCAATACTTTTGTTGATATTGACCATTGAAATAAAAATTAAAAAACTATATAATATAATCCCAAATTGAGTAAACGTGATGTTAAACACTTATAGAAAGTCATCTCTAGCAAGAGTTTTTTTTTTTTTTTTTTTTTTTTTTTTTTTTTTTTTTTTTGTNATACCTATAAATCTTAGTTGAACTCGAAAAAAAATCTTAATCGTCCCTTTTATTAATACATCTGGCTAACATCAATGACAATATCATGAATCATACCGTAAGATAAATTCTTTTTTATAATACAAAAATTTAATGTTATATTTTTATTTTAAGCTCATACATTTAAAATAATATCTATTAAAGTCTTATTTATTTTTCTATATCACAATATTAAACGTAATAAAATTATTGAAATCAAAAGGTTTGTGCATATAAAATTTGTGTAAAAATTTTATTACCAGTTACTTTTTAAAAGTATACAAGGACCTAAATGAAAATTTAAAGAATAAAGGGGCTAAAATGGTAAATTAGCCAATTTTAATTATTATTTTTTAAACAATAAAGGTTAGTGATATTCCACTTCTGTATATGTTATTGTTTAGTATGGGAGGGCAGAATAACAAGAACCCGCCTAGTAGTTTTTTTTTTTTTTTTTCTTTATTATTTTAAAATTCATTATTATTATTATTTAATTATTATGAAAGAATCCGCGTAAAGAAGTTGGTAAAGGGGTGTTTAAGTAAATTTATATATATATAAATGAACAAAAATAGAGAATGTGACTTGGCCTCCATAAACCAAATTGGAAACCGCATCTCTCTACAATATCCCAATAATATATTATTCAAATCTCCTCCCTCTTTTTATTCCTCTTTTACCCTTTTTAATCCGATTTAATTACCATTTATATACTATTGATCTCAAAATAATAATATTATCATTAAAATTATCTTATTCTTTATTTAAAATTATAGAAACAAAAAAATTAAAATCTAAGCACAAACCATGAGCTTCAAATTAATTTATTTTTTAAAGTTTATATATATAATATTTAAAGAGAAAACAAAAACAAAAAAAACAATTAGAGAAATTATTTATTTAATTTTTTTTAAAAAAAATCAATTTTACAACTGTACTTTGGGAGCCGGCTACGGCCAGAGAAGTTGAAGGAGAGGGGAGGGTCCTCCGTGTGAGGATGTTGAAACCGTCGGATCCGCACGTGAAAGTGACGGTGAGGATCAGAGATGACGTGGGTTCTGACACGTCATCAGAGAGAGAGCACACGAGTCTCGTGGCAATGTGGGCCGGGCCTGAGTCCGAATCGTAACGGCCATGACCGAACGTGGGTGTCCCCTTGGCGGAAACCATGCCCAATGCCCTCTCCTGACGTGGCGCCCTTACCTACTCTCTACTCTCTACTATCTACTCTTCTCTACTCTCGGTCTACGCGTCTGTGATTCACGCGCTATTCCCTTATCTGCCTTGCTGGCTTTTCCCCCACTTGCCTTTTTTTTTCTTCTTTCTTTTCTCCACCAATGAGTCAACTACACGATGACAAAGAATAATCAAATTATAAAAAATTTATTCTAATTATAATTATAATTATTCTTACTTATAAATTCATGATAATTCCTTTAATTTGTCAATGTGGGAGGAACGTGTGAGACTCCTTTCCCAATAATTCTCAACAAATTCAATAGAATTCAACATGAAACAAAGAGGTGCCGTTACCCGAACAAAGGGTCATATTTTATATTCAAAATAATTCCCATTTTTTCTCGGTCTTTCCCACATGCTCCTCCACTTTCTTATATTGTCTCAACATATACTCATAAACTGATTCCAACGAGGAATCGTCATCCTAATATCCAATAAAATAATTTTGTGGAGATGACAATTGAAGACGGAGAATACTTCACCGTACCCACCCCGTAGATATCTCTACGTATTTCAACTAACATCCAA